ACCTGTAAGAACAAGAGGGTGGTGAACGCTCTTCAGCTGATGATGACGACATGAAGACTTTAGTTGAAACAAACCTGTGTACAACTGTTTGAGAGCTTGGCGTAAGCAAAACAACGATTTCCGATCAATTGAATCGTATAGGAAAGTCAAAGAAGCTCGATAAGTGGGTGCCACACGAATTGAGCGAAAATCAGAAAAATCACCGTTTTGAAGTGTCATCTGTTTTTCTTCTCCGCAACAAAAATGACTTTTTTCTTGATCGAATTGTTAACTGCAATGAAAAGTGAATTCTCTATAACAACCGGCGACGTTTGGCTCAGTAGTTGGACTGCGGTCAGACACCACAACACTTTTCAAAGCCAAATTTGCACCAAAAGAAAATTATGGTTACTGTTTGGTGGTCTGCGGCCAGTCTCATCGTCCACAGCTTCCTAAATTCGGGTGAAACAATTACATCAGATAAGTACTGTCAGCAAATCGACAAAATGCACCAAAAATTGCAACACATGTGCTCGGCATTGGCCAACAGAAAGGGGCCAGTTCTTCACGACAATGCTCGCCCGCATGTTGTGCAACTGACCCGACAGAAATTGAACGAATTGGGATATGAAACTTTCCCTCATCCCATATATTTGCCTGACCTCTTGCCGACTGATTACCACTTTTTCAAACATCTGGATAACTTCTGCAGAAGAATGTTTCAGAAACCAAGACGAGGCCCAAAATGCCTTTAACAACTTTATTGCGTCCAGTACTCCAGAATTTTATTCAACCGACATCATAACTAATTGGTAACTTATAACTCATTGGCAAAAATGCATTAATAAGATGCAGTTATAAGTTACCAGTGAGTTATATTATAACTCATTGGCTGGTGCTTATTTTGATTAATAAAATTGTTTTTGAGTTGAGTTATGATACTTTAAAGATATAGGTTAAAAACTTGCATTTTTTTCTTCCGGACAACCTAGTATTTCAACAAAATAAGAGAAGTGATAGTACCCATCACAATAAATAATATTTATAGTGGAACCTAGTGCTGCTCTGAATGTCAGAAAAGCATGGAGTTAATCGTCTAAGTTGAAATTTTCGTAGTACGAAAAAAAATTATGAAATCATAAGTTACAAAATCCCATTAAATCAGAGAACAAAAGTAGATTCTTAAAATGCCACCCAAGAATGCTGTTGCTCAGTTCTGTCTGGTGAATGAAAAAAAACCAGCCATTTCTTTCATAGCCTTCTGGTGTCATTTTTATTTTATCCACTGCAAAATAATTCTTGCAATGAGATCTTTCACAAATTAACCACTTATTTTGTATGCCGATGTGTTTCTAGAAAATGTCCAGTGAATTAATGTCTGGATAGTATGGAGGCCAAGCTTGATATCTGCAGTGTCAAGTGTACTGTATGAAATGAGATATGTGGCATTTAGGAAATGTTGGACCACAATAAAGTATACTGGGGCTCATTGTGCATGTCCCTGTATGTGGAGAGTAAAACAATCTGTCACAAACCGGGAAGTATTTTCTCCTGGATGATATGTTATGCTATGCTGGTTAGATGTTCTGGTAACCTGTAATCAGGCAATCACCAAGAATACCTACCCATATGTTCACAGCAAATCTCTGTTGATGTTTATTAGAGGCAGTTACATAGGAATTTGCTTTCAGTCCAGTCTTGTTTGTTGTGAATGTTGAAAATATCTTCATGGCTAACTGAAATCACTTCACTAAATAATGAATGCTGAAGCAGAGAACTACAAGTTGCTAATTTTCATCTGGAACATCAGAAAATATACTCGGTGGAGACAATCATGTAGATTAGAAAATTAGACATTTTGTCCATGGAAGAGGTGCATGTGTGGCATATACAAAAGATTCCACATTGTATTGTGACAAGCATTAGTGTCAAATACTACTGCTTCCATACTTGTGGGAGGAACTGCTGCAAATCTCTCCAAGATATACTTTTTATTTCCGTACTGTCAATGTGATGGAATACGATGCATTAGAAATCCTTTATGCCAATGTTCTCTAAATTTGTAGCTCGCAGCCAAATGATCTTTTCAAAGCAGTTTTTCACTACAGAACTGCATTTCCCATAAGTTAATTAGCATTAATATGGCAAGAATTCTAAGAAAGGTTAAAGATTTTAATGAATTTGCATCAAATTTCATGTTATTTTCATTGACATTAAAAAGAGTTGTTGCTCCAGAAAACCTTCAAATGGAGCTAATTAATTTAAAAGATTTAAAGATATAGATTTGAATAACCTTTTCTGTCACTTGTCAAAAGATGAATACCATCATTTATGAATTTTTGCAATAAGAATATTCACTTTGGGAATACATTTTTTTATGTGAAGAGGTTTCCCCTCTCTTCCTCACAGTAGGAAATTAATGTGTCTAATTGAACCAGACTGACAAATGAGCATCTATAATTTGAATAATTTCTAGCAATTTTTCACCAAGGTTAAAAGTTTATTGAAATCAAAATGCCATGTGTTCTTTTAGCCGAAAGTTTTAGTATGAAATAAAGAAGATTATAATTATTTACAAACAAATATATGTATTTTTGCAAAGAAAAATGTAGTTATTAAAATAAAAGTAATAGGTTGTAAATATTGATTCTCAAGTTTTGTTTCACTTGAAGAAAGTTTTCGTAAACTGTTTAGTTTAAGTAAATTATTTAGTAGTTAATTCAAGATGTTAGAATTATTTAAAATAAACTTCAGTCTGAAAATTTAATATTTAATTAACTTACAGATACCAACCTCTAGATTTCAGGCAGAAAATAAATTTGAATTTTTTCCTTTCATCATTCTGATTACTTTTTATCTATGTTATTGTTAAGTAGTTAGTAAATAAAATTAAAAAAGAATTAGTTTAGGAAATTTCTCAAAATTATTTAAAAAAAAGTATTGTCAGCTGTTTTTAGATTGTGCATTCGGCCCACATATATTTTAAATATTTTTTATTTTGTTAATAAACATTTTCATTTTTGTTTAAAAAAAAAGCCATGTCCCATCAGCTGCTTTTGAATTGTGCATTTAGCCTGCACATAATTTGAGTTTGAGGCCACTGTCATTGTGCTTTGTATCCATTCCCATATACTTGAATGTACAATAGATGTATTTCTACCAATTTCTCGTTTATGTATCTGTCAATTTAATATTCCATGGCCTTGAGGTCCTACCAAAGTTATCCCATTCATTTCTGCGCAATTTTAAGTTGCTTGTCAATCTTTCTGGACAATCTACCAGTTAGTCACTGTTGAAGGCTTTTGTGGATTTCTACTGTTTTGTTAGACCTCGTGGTTTTACCAAAAGCTCTGTTTAGAATGCTATGAGTACAAACTTCCTGCAGGTGATTGTTCCAACCTATTACTTGTCCATATTCAGCTGTTCATTCCCCTTTCAGCATTATTTGGACCAGCTGTAAATGAACCAAAATGCTGACACAAACATAATTCTACAGCCCTTATTATTTTTTAATGTAATAAAAAGTAAAACAATAACCTTATTCATAAAGCTTATTGAGAATCAACTGAAGGTTACATCAAACAAAAGCATTATGTGTGCTGTGACATCGGGCTTACCCATATTTGGTGCTAAATCACATTATTTGGTGACAGTTTCACGGTCGATGAGATAATACATAAGTACCTCCATCATTACTGCAAGAATAGAAGAGTTGCTGAAAACAAAAAGCTCTGAAAAGAGGATGAAGCTTTGAAAAGAGGATGAGCGAAGAGATAGTGGGAAATTATGATTTAGATCGGTGGTCAGAGACTTAAATTGCCTGCAAGCCAAATAGCTGATGGATTGGATTTTTTAGAAACAAAATAACAATTTTTATCAACAAAATAAAAAGAAAATAAAAAATATTCTAACAAAATTTAAATTTTGGCTTTCTAAATATTTAAAAGATGTATAAACAATAGTGATTATGATGCAAAAGGAAAAAAATCAAATCTATTTTTTATCTGACATTTAAAATTTAATACTCGTAAGACATTCCCTTCCCGGAAACTGCGGGCACTATCGCAATACATTCTGGTTACATTTTGTATTTGTAATTCAAATATATTGGCAACTTAAAATTTCAGAGTGAGATTTATTCAAAATAATTTTAGTATGTTTAATTAATCATTATAAAACTTTAAATTAAATTAAAAATAAAGAAATTATGAAAATTTTCCAGTCTGATAAAAATTGCAAATAAATAATGATAGACTTGTCTCTTTCTCTTATTTATTAACTTTTCTTTCACACATAAATAAAAATACATATGCATGTGTGTAAATAATTATAAATTTCTTTATTTCTAATTGCACCTTAAGACTTGAGGGTGTTTCGATTTTAGCAGAAGTGAAAATATAATAGAAATAGATGTATTGTAGATGCTTATCGTCGAATTGAACTAATTGCTTAATAATTTTCAACCGGGGGGGGGGGGATTCTGATCATTTTTAAATGTACTCTCAAAGTCTTATTTGAGAGTTAGTTAAGTTAAGGATTATTTAGTGCAAAAATTCATGACTGAGCATGTTTATTTTTTGACAAGTACAAATAAAAATTGAATCTGTATATCAAATTTTTGAATTAAATTTATATCAGAATGTAAATTAAATAGCTGCTTTTTAGATTAGAATTAATAGATAAAATGGTAATAATTAAAATAGATTTTCTGTTACATTATTCTGATTTGTTTTAAAGGGTAGTAAAAGTAATGTGAACTCGGATTTCAAATAATTGAAATCTTTACAATACCATATCTGCAACAAATACCTGGTTGAAATGTATTCGCTGGTTATATAAAATTGTGTAGGGAACATATGCAGCCTGTGAACTGTCAGTTTGAGATCACTGATGTAGATTTTCAAGTAAAATTCTGTTAAGACTTTCCTCAAATATAATTTCTTTTTGAGGTATATTTGTTTTTTAAATAGCATATTTAATTGAATGTTGTATTTAAAATTGATTTTAATAATATTTTCTAGTGGAGCCCACTCATAACCCATTAAAAATTGATGTCTTTGTTCAGACTCTGCTGAATTTTGCTGATAAATCTTTTTCTCATGCATTTGCTGCTATAGCAAAGTAAGTACTTTCTTTAACATGGAATTTTAAACAATGATTCATTTCATTGAATATATGTGTTCCATGTAATAAAAGTTTGTGTGTAATATTTTTATTGGAAGTTTAGATCTTGATTTTCTTGCTGTTTGAATTGCTATCCTAAAAATTTGTCTGCGATTTTACATATTTTACCTTTTTTAAAAATAAAAATATTAATAAGCATGTTAAAATAATAATAATAAATATGCTAAATTCAAAATAACAATAGTATGGATAATAATTTGTTGAAATAAAAATCATAATAATGAATATACTAGAATCCAGTTTTTACTGTTTCCAGTTTTATTACTGGTGTTGTAGGTGATTAGTCTTTTTTGAAAGCGGAAATATTCAGCTAAAAATTGAAACTACCGGAAAAATTTTTTGAAATAACTGTGAGGATTGATGAAAGTGAAGTATGGCAATAAAAACTTAAGGCCGGTTTAGCTGTAGATCAATGTGATTTTGCAGAAAATTCTCTGCACGTTTTCTTGTTTTGTTAGAGTTTGTAGAATTCATTGTTGACTACTATCGATTTTCACTTTTATTAGAAAAAATTAGCATTGTGTCAGTGCTGTTCACATATGTATTTTACCATAGGGTTGGGGGGGGGAATAAAATTTTCTGCTATCTTTCAATGGTTTGAAGAGATAGGATGAAGAAGTGCTGCAATTTGGGGATTCTTCTCTGTTTATTCTACAAATAATGGCAAATAAATAGACTTAACCAAAGTTAGTAGTGAGGAAAATTCTAACTTTTGCTCATAAGCAGCTGTTATATGTACTTTAATGATTAATTAGGTTACTTTCATGAAGTAGTCTCTAAAAAATTCAAGCATGGAAAAGTCTACAAAAATTTTCTAAATTCTTTAACTCTACAAGGGTTATGTAAAATTCTCTATAGAAGGATGGCTTTCGCATTCATTACACATGAAAATTTTTGCAGATTTTGATCGATCCAATTTTGAGTTGGATATATATTGGAAAAAAAGGAGTCAAAGTGAGAAAGTCATTTTAATTTTAATCAAGAATATACTGCTTATTCATGGCATTCTAAGAAATTTGAAATTTCAGGGCAAAACTGCTAATGCTCAGGTGATAAATTAGGGCAAAATATTCATTACACTTGTAATTGTAGCTTAATCTTTAATGGGTATATGGAAAAAGCATGCAAACTCTGAAGTCATTAAATCAATATTTTTTGTTATTGAATATAAAAGAATAATAAAATGAGTAGATTATAACTAGCCTTTAATAAAGAAAAAACATATTATTGTAATGTTTTCATCATACTACAGCTTAATTTGCTTTTAGGTACCATACTGTGTTCAAAGTTTTATCAACTTCAGAAGAAGCACAGATCTGCATCTTGAGGAGCATGTTTGAGTTGTGGCATTGTCACCAGCATGTATGTGCGTTAAGTATTAAAATTTCATGTACAAAATTATATTCAGTCCTATAAACTGAGAAACAGATCATACCAGTGGATAAATATTTGGTTGTAGCAAAAGTTTTCTGCCAAAAAACATTCTTAATAAAGTTAGGGGGGAACATGAAAGCAGTAGCTTTAGTGTGGGTAGTAATCATCACCTAAATCTGTGATTTTCTACCAAAGTTTTGGTAGTTTTTCATAGCCTTTGGTCTAGAAACTTAGTGGCGGCAAGTCCAAAAACAGATTAACCTGATTTCAGATGTCCTGTGCAGAATGGTTGATAGCACCAGCAAGATGTGAAAAATGGTAGAAGTGTGAAGGAGTAATGTGGGGGCTAGAAGATGCAGAAGATCCCATACAGAGTCCAGCAGCTGAATATGGACACATGTAGTCTTGCATTATCTTGATGGAACATTACATTTTTGTGCTAGAATTCAGTTCAATGCTTTTCCTTGATAGCAGCATCAACACGTACTATCATCTCGCTATACTTCATGCGCTCAAGGATTTTACCTTTTTCCAGATATTCTTTGTGGATAATACCACAGCATTCCCACCAGATGCAAAGCATGATCTTTTTGTCAGTCAAATTGCACTTTGTGACGCTGCCGAGGAACTCATTGGGTGCAGACCAGCCCTCTTTTCGGCCAGTGTTGTTGAAGTAAACCCACTTTTCATCATAAGTGACGATCCAGTCCAGAATTTTGTCCTTTCTGTTGACATTTGAGCAGATTAATGCAGGTCCGAACAAACACCTGTCCTTATCTGCTTCAGTCAGTTCAGGCGGCACCCAGCGATTGAACTTTTACGTCAAGTTTATGCGATGCATAGCATGACTAATGAATGTAGCACTAATGTCTTAGCAAGCTGTCAAGGGGTTGCATACTGATCTTCATCCACAAGTTTTCTCAGGCAGGCCTCATCAACATCAGTACACCAGCCAGAGGGCTCTCCTTCTTCAATGTCATAGTCCTTGTTTTTGACCTTTCAGTACCAAACCTTCACAGTGTCATATGATACAACATTAGTACGTAAAGCTGTACACATCATTTGGTGACATTTTGTAGCTGACTTTCTGAAACAGAACTTGAAGTAAATGATGGGTCTAATCTGATAGCATGATAGTTCCATTTCAGACACCTTGCACTTAATGATATATTTTTAAAAAGTTTGCAACACAATGTCTAAAGGAAGTCTGTTTCTTTCAAGTACCAAAAATCGTTTGACAAAATATGATTCAACGTGCCAATGCGCAGACGATATTTGCAACAGCGGGAAACTTTCGTTAAACCCTGATATATTAACATGTGTATCTCTCAATGAATTGTATTCTGAATGCAAAATTTATAATGAAACGTGCAATTAATTGTAATAAATATGGAATGCTTTTGTATCTGTTATGATCTTAGATATGGCATGTATGAGGATGATTGTGTTCAATTAAGTTAAATTTTTATCTCAAAATTTGATTTAAACTCATCAGTTAAGTAGCCCCACAATTTTATTTTAAGTAATGTATGACTAAAAATGCAATGATAGTTAAAAATTATTGCTTGTTTTTAAATTTCTTATTAAAAAATTTTATGTATGTATGTATGTATATATATTATTATTGTGATAATGTCATTAATGACTGGGCACTCTCAGAAGGAAATTAGGTTCATCTATATGCCACATATTCATGTTATGAGCCATAAAAAGAACATGTGTTCTTGGTGGTAGAAGTGTATACTAGTTACAGCTATCTAAATGGATGTAAAGTAAGAGCTGAGTAAAGCTGAAAGTGACATGATCTTCCATTTCATGTGTGAGATTCCTTTCAAGTTCCAAATATGGCAGTCATCAATATAGTGCCAAAATGGAAGGGAGGTATAAAATTCCATTTCGAACTGGGCAGTCAGAAAAAGTGACATTTAAGTACTTTCCATGCCTCTGACATATGATCATACATAATAGGGATAACTAAACTGAATGTTTACTGCTGATTACGCTGGTGTAAAACACATTTGTGGACTTTAAACATGGAAGAGCAAAGTGTGTAGTCACAAATCACAATACATGTTGAAGAATACATGCACAATGTAGAATACATGCACAATGTGAATACATGCACAATACATGCTGAATGGTCAAGCAGGCATCTCTGTGAATGTCACTTTGGAGGTAATTAAACTAACAATAACCCCCCCCCCCCCAAAAAAAAAAAATTGTACAGTAATGCTGTCACCAGGACTTGAACCTGGACCTCTCGAACAGGCGCCAAGTGTGCTACCATAATACCATGTGGGCATGCTGGAAGGAGGGAGAAAATACCATTTAATCTAAAATCTCCAGATCAGTAAAAGCTTAAAAAAAAAAAAAAAAAAAAAAAAAAAGAAAAAAGAAAAAAAAAGAGAGAGCTGAACGTTTGCATATGTAATACCTTTTTTATAATGAAACATGTGGAGAGTAGGCCCGACTCTTAATTTTACTTCAGCATTTATGTTACCCTAGTGAATCATCATTTGTTATTTTTTGTTTTCGTCACTGCATGTCTGTCAACACATTGCAGCTTCAAAAATGACTCATTCAGCAGTGTCTGAGAAATTTTTTAAAATTTTTAATATTAGTGATTGAATACCAAAGAGCATGGTAACTTTTATTTTGACATTACACTTAGCGACAGATACATGCTTAAAGACTTCAGCTTATACATCTGTGAAGTATTGAGCGTGGTGAACAAATTTTTTACCAGATGCAAAAAATAGATTTTGTAAATGATGATCATACACCAGAAGATTATATTTAGTGCTGTTTGAACTGAGAATAATCGATTTGTCATTCAGTTAAGCCCAGAACCAGTGTCAGTGCTGGTGTAGTCGTACTGGGTAGCAAAATTTTGATAATTTAGTGAAGCACCAAACAGCAAAGTTAAGGGCTGGCAAAATCTTTAGAATTTAACGAAATTTCTTGGCAGCAGAATTTTGGACACGCAGAAACTGCACTGCACCTCAGAATGTCTAGTGCCAGTCCTAGATAAGCCATAACTGTACATAGGAATTTATTTATTCAGGACTCAGATAAGCCTTTAGCATGCACGGGAATTAGTCATAATTCAGGACTCCGATAAGCCTTTAGCGTGCATGGGAAATGGTCATAAGTGTAATAATTAACTAATATAACTTAACTTCATCAGCATGTGATAGAAGCAAGACAAAATTGAGCAGAACAACGTCTTTAGTCACCAGTCTCATGCTACATTTAGATTACCAACAGTGTACAGCAGACGCTAGTTAAGCTTTATGACAATAAATGTGAATTTGAAGGTTTTTTAGATATTGCAAACAAAAAGCAAATTTTTTCAATTAAGGGAATCTGCAAAGAAATGTAGAATAAATGAAATGAAAAGTGTTAATAAATGACATTGATATAAAAGAAATTTTTCATTACAATGAGAATTGCCCCAATCACCAATCAACTAAAAGATGGTGAAATCCAATCCAGAAAATATTGCTACTAATAGAGGAGAAATTGATGTAAAGGGGGCTGAGAACAAAAAAATTTTGAATAACAGATAATGGGAATTCTCAAAGTGGCAATTACGGGATTTAGCGGAACTTTGTAACTCAGCAAGAAACTATGTTTATCTATAGAATTAAAGAAAATTTTAGCTCAGAAAAACGAAGCTAATTAAAATTGAAATAAATGTTTAATAAGCAAGGAAATATTTTTTTTTTTTTAAAGTAAATTTGGATATTTTATTTTTCTTCTTCTTCTGAATGCCTTCGTGGTGTAAATGGAAGCATGTTCAACATGTATTTGGGAGGTCCAGAATTTGAATCCTGTCTAGGGCATTGCATATTTTTCATGTTCCTGCATCAATTTAACCTAATGACTCTACAAGTGGTGCTCAAATTAAAAGGTGGTGGACGGTAATTCGTCACCACCAAAATTTGATGTTTGGGTTTCCTGATCCTCAGTCATCCTTTAAAACGGGGAGTATATAATGTATTTTCCACATGCCTTTGTGGTATAATTGAAAGCATGCTCGATGCGTATGTAGTATGCTCAAAATCCTGACACGAGGGCATTGCACATATTCCCCATTTTTGCATTGATATAACCTAATAATTCTACAAGCTTATAAATGCTTCATTATTTCACATTTCTAATGTTACAATTTCTACATATCATCTTACTAGACTTAAATTGATCTAATATCCAGAAGAATTCCAAATCCAGAATCGCTGAAGCCCAGATGAATCCGGATCTCAGACATTGTACTGTATATGTCTCAAAATATGATTTTGCTTTGTTTCACTTTTCATTCAAGTCTGTTGCCATTCTGGAAAATGTAAGATTCAAATTTAATCTGTCTCTCACTGATTAAAAAAAACTAAGCTATTTAAAAGCAATAGGTGTAGTTCATAAGAATATTATTATTATTTTTTTTTTTACATTTTAATCTGATTTGAATGAAAATGCATTATATATCTAAATAGTATAATTATATATATATTAAATATCTAATTAAAACATTAAGTATTCTTATAGAATTACATTATATATTTTTTCACTTTTCAAATATACAGAAGATATATAACATTGCTATGTTAGCCTAAATGCATATTCATCTATTCACCTGTGTTTCACTATTCTACCTGTGCCTTCTCTATTGATATTCTCCACTGACTGTATGAAACTTTAAAAGAGAACTTAGGCACCATTAAAATCTAACCCTTTTAAATTTTTCTTTTTAAAATTAAATTTCAAGCTAAAATCTTTAAATATTACAGTACATTATTAATTATTTTTATTAAATATTATATATTATTAAATAAAATTAATAATACTTTATTGTATGCGATTATATTTACATAAAGAGGGAAAATTAATTTTCCTTAAATTGCCCCTGCCTGTTATGCATCTATGTTATTAAATATATACAGCAGTTAATAGATGGATAATGCTAATGAGAATGAGAATGACATAACTGTTAACTTTAGCTGTTAGTATTATCTGACATTTAAATTACTCATGTTAGCAGTTACATTTTCCGTACAACACTCCAGTTGCAATTACCACAGAAGGTAAATGAATGAAATGAATTGCAAGTAAGTAGTTTTGATTTGAACCAAGCAAAAATATTACATGGCTGTCACTACTCTCATCATGAAATATAAAGGCAACTTATCACATTATAATTTATGTACCAAAAAAAATATTATTCTACCTGAGTTCTTTTCATGAAACCAGAACCTACAGATTTGTATTAAAATCTGTATCAAAACTGGAGAGATGGCAAGTATGTGTATGGATTTACTAAGTGCCAGATGACTGGTGTGTATTGCTTTAATTGTAAAGTTCGGCAGAGAGGGATCTACATTATGGGCTTGTTTTGTCTCGGTTCACTGGGTTTTATTTTTTTGAGTTATGATTACTGAAGATAACAAATATAGGAGAAAGGTAGGTAACAAAAGTAGTACTTTGCAAATCTATGCTACCCACCATGTGGGAATAATTTGAAACTTGCTATTTTTAACATGATAGTTTACTCATACTGAATGGTTTGTGGAAATGGGAATGAATGAACTTCACTTTCTGGTCTGGTTGGCTTTCTAGCCGATAGAAAGAGCTCTAGATTGAGTTACTGTAATGCTGGAGAATTAAGAATTAGACTATAAAAGAACTGTTTGTCATGCTGCAGGAGGAATGAAAGGAAATACCTGCAAACTTAGCTAAAAGTTCTTGTCAAAAGGCAGAGGCTGTGATAATGGGTAATTACAGAACTGTATCATCAGCTCCATTTAAGGAATACCAACAAGTGTCTAGGCATTAATGGTAACATAGGCTATTTTATTAAATCGTATTCTTTGGTTCATGTCAACTGGATGAATTTTTTAAAACTTAATAATGTTTGTTTCTTTTATCAGTTGGTAAAGTAAAATGCTTTTGAAGGAAAACAAAATAGATGTGAAATGCTCTTACCATATTTCCCCATGTGCACCACATTATTTTCAGTTTTGTGCGTGATTGAGACAAAAGCATCTCGACGTGCATGGCATGCCTTTTTAGCGCAAGCGGTTAAATTGTAATCCAGCAGGCCAATAAAAACTAGTCGGTAAAGTAAATAATTCATTTGTTTAAATGTTGAGGTCCCAAAATCAAGATGTGTCTTATATACATAGGAAAATATGGTAGTTGAGAGATTATACATCTAAAATCCTTTTTAAATAATTTATTTACTTTTTTTTTTTTTTTTTTAAGATGATGGTTGGCTTAGTAACAAAGTTTTTAAAAGCAAAAATTGTTGAATGCTCTGCTGTAGCAAACTGGTTATTTTCTAAAGAAATGTCAACTGAGTTTCCAAAGTAAGTTTTTAAAAAAAATATTTTATTTGCTGCTGACTTTTATGGGCGAATAAAATGTTTGCATTTTATGTATAACTTTGTAAAACAAAATATTTTTTAATTCAATTTAGGTCTTACATTTGGGAAATACTGCATTTAACTATTCGTAAAATGATACGATATGTAACTAACATTCAGAAGCAAGTGAATGATGCAAAGAAAAAACTTCAGAAGGTAAGTATAGTAATGAAATATTGTGAACAATTTTTAAATGTATAAAATGAACATAATATGGCATTGTCAAATCTTATCATTTTGGTATATGTAATTTATATAGGATGAAAGTATGGAAGATGATGATGATGATGAAGATGATTCAAACCATGTTCGTCCTTCAGAAGAAATGATTGAAGAAATGGAAGAGAAACTAGATACTGCACAGAGTGAATTAAAAAATCTCTTTCTTATTATATTTCAGGTATGTAAATATAAATATTGAAAATTTCCATTGACAAATATTTTTGTTCATTAAATAGTTTAAATTCAAGTAATTGTTCAAAATTAATTAGTATGGAAGTTATTTCATTAGTTGTTTCAGGTCATATTATGCAACACAGTACATAAGCAAAGAAACACACAGTATAAGTATATAAGCAAATACAGGTCATACTACGCAACACAGTACATATAAGCAAAAAAATTACTATTTAAATGTTACTATAAAATTGCATTTTCTCAAGTTCTTGCTCAAAACCACATACTTTATTAAGCTAAATTACATTGTAAATGTTTAAAAAAAAAGGGGGGGAGGCACAAAAAAGGGAAAATTAATGCTCTGATGATAAGTAATAAAACAGACTTCATACATATATAATACTGAATTGAAATTAATAGAAAATAATCATAAATGTAAGTTTCCCTCTTTTGAAGTATGCTATTTATTTTTCAGAGATTTATTATGCTGTTAACAGAACACATAGCTCGATGTGAAGCTGATGGTATAGACTTTAATAATTATTGGTTTAAATCTACTTTAGGAAGGTTGCAAGAAGTATTTTTTCAAGTAAGTTGAAATTTAATTCAAAGTTCATTTGATATATATGGCTTTATTGACATAAAATCTAGTGAGGAGTGAATATTTATTATTTGCTGTAAAAGTTATGTATTAAAAAACAAAAGTTCTGCTAGTTCAATATATGTAGAATTGATAAAAGTAGTCAAAAGTATCCTTAATTTTGGTTGACTCAACATCATTTTATACTATGTGTTTGGTTTTTCAATAAAGTTATAATCAGGGCTGTGAAGTCGGAAAGATTTTGGGGTAAAAGGAGTCGGAGCTGGAGTCGCTAAAAAACAGGTCGACTCCGACTTCAGTTTTTGTTGGACAGTTTGAATTTGAAATGAAATTAAAATGAATTGAAAAAAAATTAATGACAAGCTGAGTTATTATTTTTATTAATGGACTATAGACATAAATAGTTATTTTCTATTTTATTGACATATTAATAAATATAAGGAAGGAGGATGGATGTGATATTTGTTATTAGTGATTAAACTGATTTATTTAGTTATAAATTTCACTGGTAAATTTAAGTAAGCAGCAATAGCAGGAACAACTCCCAAAATTGATGCCATTCTTAGGAAATGAGCAGGAAAAGGAGCAATTATTGATCTAGCAATGTGATAAGGAAGTACATATTTGATGATAAAGAGGTTGTTAGAATTAAGAACTGTTTTAGAAGATGTGGATAACCCTAATGTTTCACTAACAGAAAGAATGTGGAATGATCTTGCAGAATTGGAAACTCTTCTTTGTACACTGTATCTAGCCACAAAAAAGCTGCAATCTCAAGAATTGACAGAAGGCGAGATTGGAAGAATGGGATGTTCTTTCTGAAATGGAGGGTTTATTGCAGAAGAAATAATTTCTTCAATGAAGAAAAGAGAAACTAGTTTGCTAGACAATGAGATCTTGCTGGGTTCAATATATGAAGATCCGAAACACCGAGTTTTCTTGGATGACGAACAAATTAAAAAGGCAAAGAAAGCCATCTATGTTTTTTCATTAAGAATGAAATTATCAGAACAATAGGAGTATTCAAATCAGGACAGTCAAACTACAGATATTGCAACTGAGTCTATATCATCTTCTTATCTTACATATATCTATGTGTACACAGGGTGTTTCATGGATCATGGGACAAACTTAGAGGGGTGGTGGAGCATACTAAAACATGCATTTTTTATAGCAATGTAGGGTTTAAAATGACAGGTTAAGGCAGGAATGAAAAAAAAAGGGGGGGGGAGTTTCGTAAATGATGCTCTTCAGATGCCCTCTAAAAAAAAAAATCCAAGCTGGATAAATCTGGCGAGCAGGGTGGCCATCCATCGGCCTGGAAATATCCCATCTATCTAATTGTGGACTGGCACATGGTTATGGGCTGGTGCACCATCATCGTGGAACCACATGCGATCACGAACAACAGCTGGAACATCCTGCAGCAATTCCGGTAGCACATCTTGCAGAAAAATATGATAATATAAGCCATTTGTACGTGCAGGTAAGAGGTATGGGCCTATGAGGTAGTCGTTAACAATACCTACTCACACATTCACGGAGAAGCGGGTTTGGAATGCATGTGGCCGTGTGGATTATGGTTGCCCACAAACAGAAACTAGACTAACTCATACTGCCACCCTAATTATGATCAACCATGGGTACAATCCTCCACCTGTTGGGCATGATGAATTCTCATTTTTCATCTGAATTATGTGCAAATCAGTAAGGTTGGTATAGTGATGCTGTTTCTTTAAAAATTTTATTATTAATTTTAATTTATGGTATGGAGTTGATATTTTATTGACAATATCACTACAAGTATGTCCTCGGAAATAGAACATGTGTTGCTTAGTAGGAAACCCAAAATCTGGTAGCTAATGTTAGCATATCTCTTACTCCTAGCATTAGTTGGCTCAGGGACCTTCCTCAATATTCTGAAATACATTAGTGAAGAATGAGGTTTTGTTGTGAGCATGTTTGCAAACACAGTGTACCGATATGACTGATCAATGCATACGTGCCACTTTTCCAAAACTTCTGGTAATTTTTGCAAAAACTGGCTCTATGTTTACTATGAAAGTTGATGATCTTGCCAATCTTGTATCAACACTACTGGCAGATATTTGAAGGAAGATACTGTTTTCTATTTAATTAGATAATTAAGACATACAGGTTACAGATGTAGCCCAAAATAAACTTAAATTGCTTATCATAATTTTTAATATTGGATAATCATTCCTTGTCCATTTAAAAAAAAAACTTGTTTATCATTCCCATAAACGTAACTTTTCTTCATGTCAGGATCCCATAACTCCATTCCCCATAGAAAGCAGGTCTTTTATTTTAATAATTTATCTCAAAACCTAAGGGAAAGACAGATAAATAGCTATTAACTTATATCCATCTTTGCAAAAGTTAAATCAGCTAATCAAGAATTAATCAGCTTTACATAAAAGCATGGCAAAGATTTGTTTGTGATGCCATGCTTATCCATTACTGGCACAAAATCACACAATCTGGGTACAGTTTTTATTTATTGAAAATAGTTTATCTATGAGAAGTGTCATTTCACAGGATGAATTCTTAGGCTGATTGTTTACAGATCTCTCCTTTGAATAATTTTTTGTTTAAAAAAAAAAAGAAATTCAAGTGATTTGGGCTTTGCAGTCAGTTGAATACTGGATAATTGGGTCTTTTCTCTAACATCCCCACTTTACATTACAGAAGTCATAACTTTATTTGCATTATTGAAAAAATGTAAGTTGGAAATATGTAACATGTCTGGCTCCAGCAGAGTTTGATTTCAGGAGGAGCATCAACTATGATTCTGTAACTCGTGGGTATCTTCATATATCTGGACAAATTATATGACAGAATTCAGCAAAACATTCCTGAGACAGAGCAAGATCACTGAACACTCTAAATTCCCAATGAGATACAGATCTTTAAAAAAGTTACAACTAGCAAGAGCTCTCTGATTAAATCACTCTCCTTATTTTGCAAGAATTGCCCATGAATGAATTTCTACAAAGAATATCAACATAATGAACTGGATAGAAAATATTAGCAGCATAATATACTATAAAACTTCCATCAGTCCCTACGTCTAAAGATTCAGTGATTAATAATCAAGAATTTGCGAGTTTTCAGATAAAAATTTTTTACGAAATGTTAATCATTCATTACAGTCAACTGCTAGCATTTCTCATTGATGTTATTGCAATAAATTTAATCAAATCTCTGCCATGCAAGAGAATTTATTATCTGATTGATATTTTACATTGTGAAGTACTTGCTATGTATTAAAATGGTAGTGAATGCATTGTAGTCACTGTTGAATGCACTGCTGATGTTCATATAAATTATCTCATTTTTGTTGATTGCGACAGAATCTTTCACGACATGAATTATGGTTTCCCAAAATTGTGCTCTACAAATTGTTTCATCCTAGTGTGGATTTTTGTTGATTGCGACAGAATCTTTCACGACATGAATTATGGTTTCCCAAAATTGTGCTCTACAAATTGTTTCATCCTAGTGTGGAATAATTCAATTGAAATCAGATAAATTTTTATTGCTTAGGAATTGCAGTACTGAAATTCAGAATTTATCATTAATTTGAATGAGTTTCATAGATTGCATACAATATCAGTAATTTCCTCTTAAAAAAAAAGTTCTAAGATACCATACAAGGGTGGAATGAGATTTCACCGATTTTCAAACATGTATTAATTATGACTATATGATTCCAATTTTAATGTCTCAGAAGCATTGGGAACAATATAGATATGCTAAAAATGCATTCAGTGGAGTCTAGATTTCATCTGAAATATTGTATATAACTTTTGCTTCGTTAAAATAGTGTATTTGACAGACATTTTTAGTTTGAATGAAATTGTGGGGAATCATTCCATTTCCCCAACAGATGGCAGCACTATCTGGAACTTTTCCTTTCACCATCGCAGAGTGCATTCTGTTTTTTTAAATAATGCTATGAGACCAGTATGTTGTTTAGTTTATGTAATAACAAAAGCAATAATTAAAATTATGTAGTTGTTAGTGAATGGTGCTTTATGATGTTAGCATCTTTATACAGGAACCTCACGCAACCGATCTGATTACAAAAATATGTGGAATCGTAAACAACCTTTCATTCTACAAACTAAACACTAGAAAATATTATTAAAGTCTGGGATAAAGAAAGAGAAAACTTGGTTTTAAACAAATCAAATTTGAAAACATTGTTTTTGAATCATTTTTTACACTATTTGAATTCTTAGGAGTCATTGGGAATATGAATTCAGATACAATCAATGCTGGTGTGTAATGACCATCATTTTAAACATGCATAAAAATCTCCATTCGACGAGAGTATGTTAAATTCACTTTTGCTATAGTGACACGCTTCTTACAAGATGTGAGGGTCAATGTAATGGTGTCAGTTGTATTATTATTGGTAATTTTTCATTAAACTGCAGTGCAGTAGAAATATCTGAAAGAAACTTTCAGACTTCTTTTTTCCTTCCTCAGGTTAAAAAATGAATGGATGGAGAATCCATTTTAATTAAGAAATTCATGACATCAAAACCACGACTTCTTTCAACAGAATCATCTTGAAGAATAATTTTATAATGATTCTATGATACATGCTTTAAGCAAAATAACGTTTCTTGTTTTCTTTGTCCACAAGAAAAAATGCTTAGAACTAGTGGAAGAAGATTAATACATTTGAATGAAAATACCTTTTCAAGCTTGTGTACTTAAGAAACAAGTATTGATATTAATTAGATACTATGGTAGATTCATGTTTTAGACAGTGAAAGACACAACGCTATCTTTCCCATGTGAAACAGCAATAATATTTTTTTTTTGGCTAATAGTTTTGCATTTCGTTTATTATTAATAAAAGTAATTTTGAGTGAAGTAGCATACTAATCCAGCAAAATGAGGCAAGGGTTTGCATAAATGGGTTTTCTGACTTCTGAAATTTAGGAATGCATCCCAAACAAACAAAATATTTGGTTGTTTGGGATACATCACATAAGATTAGGATAAAGATTCAAGTTTTTTCATGTTATGGAGCAGCACAAAATTGTACTATCACATAAGATGCCAACAAATGTTATTCTGATTCTAAGAAATCGTTATGCTTTGAGAAAGGAGAGATTAAAAGCAGTCCATTTGCTAAGTATTAGTTACTATTAAAATATTTTCAAATTTAATAACCAGTTAGATTCAACTATTATGTGAATAAAAATGAAGTTGAGTACATGAAAATGCGATTTCTTCCGCATTAGCAAAAGTTGTTGATTTTTCAATGCACATTCCAATATTTGTTCCTCATCTTCTATACATATTTTTCATTTTATATCTACTGTTAAATAATTTGATCCTCAAACAAATTTTATTTGTTAAAAAAATTACACATTCTCATGCAAACATAATTTCCAGTTAAGCAATCTTATTAAGCAACAGTATAATATAAAATACACAGATTAAAACTTATTATTAGTATTAAAAACTTTGGTATATATATGGAGACTTATATAAAGGGCAGTTTAAATCTGTTCGAGCAGCTCATAATGTGCCACTCGTCCGGGTGTCTCGAACCGAGGGAACGGACCTGTACTCTGATAGATAGTTTACACCAATCGGAGTGGACTGATATCTCGCTTCAGTTTCTTTACAAAATGGATACAAACGTGGCAGCTCCAGTGCTTGAAGTCCGCGAAGCAGTTTCAAATGAATTAATTTCTGTTCTTGGAAAGAAAAAAAAAAAGAAAAGGGGTGCATGACTGGGTAGCTCGCCGTGATGAATGTCTCAGATCAACTATTAAATTAATTTCGGTATGAGAATGTCCAAAGTTACGAAAACGTTATTGTATTTCAGATACAAGGACTTAAAATATATTCTGTAAACATAACTGAAATTTATTCACATTCAAAATATATTCATTAATTGATTTAAAAGAAATTCAGTTTATTGAGGGAAGTTAAAAGTCAATAGATTTAAAAGAGACTCAGTTTATCGAGGAAAGTTATTTAGTCAACTGTGGTTATTGAAATTCAACTATATATAACTGTTTATTTACACCTACAGTTTTTCTACTATATATAACTGTTTATTTACACCTAATTAATCATTTACAAAATAATGTAAAAGTAATAATGTGTTTTATTATTTATTAATAGAATATATTTATTCATCCAGAATCCTCAAAATCAGTAGCTTTCTGTGCATGTAATTAATTATGCAGAGTTCTGACTGGAACTGTATTATTTCTAGAGCAAAATGCAAAATTTACATATGAAATATTTATTCAAAGCAACCACTAACATAACAGAAATAAACTGTATAATATCTACCTAATTAATTATTCAGAAAATCTTAAATAAATAAGAAGTAGCAAAAAACTTGTTAGCATTACATATATTATCACAGATAAGAATATATATATTATGACATAGTTCCAACAGGAAGCTATTTATCGCAAATTGTTACTTTTGGATCCTACTGAAATTCTGTTATACTTTACTGATTATATTTTACTTTTAAAATGCTAAAACGGATAGTTTAAGAAAATTAGGATTCATCTAGCATAATTTGTTAAACCTTGTTAGACCTTAAGTACTTGTACTCAGTGTTTCACATCAAGCTGAATTGTAACAAATTATAGCCCAGAATGTTTTTATACAAAGCAACAAATTTAAATATAGCCAATAAAACAGATCTACATATTTTTTTCATAATTCTATAAAAACTGTTTTGAAATGAATATAAGATAGAAGTATGCAACTTATTAATGAAGCAGTAAAGTGTTCCATAACACTTCGCGAGATGCGTATGCATTAAAAAATGCCATGGTTTGGCTATCGCTCCATCGACGTTATAGAACTCACTGTCACGACATCTCTGTGAACGCTGCTCAGAGTAACTGCCCAGATAGATTTTTCAACAGGTTCAAAGTATAAACAGAACTCATCTCCCCTACGTTTCCACTCGGTGGAAGTGAGCGTTTACATTGTCAAGTAAGCGTAACGAGCTGCTCTGACAGTTGTAAACTGGCCTTCACAAGGTTTAATGTAGAAATATGAAAAGTTTTAAAAGATTTTTATTTTAAACCTTCAGTTGGCAAAATGGTCATCTAGGCATCATTGAAGTATAGGACACTATCTACATATAATGACTCCAGGTGAAAGCTTAAAATACACTGGTTATCATTAGTTACAGAAAAATCGCAAAAATGATGACTGCTGAAAAAGTTACATGTAGAAAGAATTTAATGAAACTGATCCACAGTATACGATACATAGTAAAGTGTGATATGAAAATAAATTACCAATTATGGTGTTGCAACATTAGTATATGTGTATAAAAGGTCGGATGCCTCAGTTTGTTATAGGAAAATTACTATCAATATGGAGTATGGTCTCTCCTCAGAAGCAATACAACACATACAGTCATGTGCGATGCTGTCAATTATGCAGTCTATCAATTTCGTAGGAAGTGAGAGCTATTGCTCTTTTCAAAGCACTTGCAAGGGTCTTAAGAGGAAGATTCAGGGCAGCTATACATCTTCCCAAAGCATCCCAAACATGTTCGATAGGATTCATGTCTGGTGATTGAGCTGACCACTCCATGTGCTGAATTGATGCTACTGAAGATAATCATCCATGGTTAGAGTCCTGTGCGGTACCAGGACAAGCATCAAGGATGTTATCTTTACCGGCCCGAGCATTCATGGTTCCACGTGAAAAGACATGAAGTTCTGTACCTCAAACCTAACAGATACTGCCTTCTTTATCTCTTTACAGATGTTTGATGGATGATAATGAGTTTCAAGTTCTCTCCAAATCAAATTACACTTACTACTGCTTTGGGGGCTAAACCTGGATTCATCCGTAAAGAGAACTTTATTGGTCAGCTGTCCAATGGACATGTTGACGTGCCCACCTCAAACATTTCCTTCTACCGTCTTTTTCTGAAAATAAGACACTGTCTTACTTTCTTTTTTGGTCCAAAATACGCGCTAGGGCTTATTTTCGGGGGAGGGCAAAAATAAAAGTATATTTATATATTTTTATTTAATATTTATTTTACACAGAATACAGAAATTTAAATTTATTCAATTACAGTCATGTCATCTCTTCTGGACATCGTCATAAATAAAATTCTGAATTATATTCTGATTTTCTTCTAAATCCATTTCCTGTTGAATCACTGGTCCGAATCTCTCATGTCTTGCGATATAGCTATCGTCGCTGCGTCATATGGGGGGGGGGGTTCAGTTCAGCCCAAATTTCACCCTGACGAGAGTCTGCCGACGCTAACGGATGACGATGCCTTTCCCGTGAACGTATCTCTCTCGGGGCAAACGGTGAACTGGTTAAGATAAATTCCAAGAATTAATTTAAAACAAACTGTAGAGGTAAACAATTAATTTCTCGGAATATTTTGTTTCAAACATTTCTCTGAAATACGAGTATTAAGAAAGCTGAACATATTATTAATTATACTTAATAAATCAACAGCATTTTTACTGAATTCGTTTTGTCACATTATTTTAACTAGGGCTTATTTTCGGGGGATGTCTTATTTTACAAAAAGGTCCCAAAATCACGATCGGTCTTATTTTACAAAAAAGTCCGAAAATCACGATAGGGCTTATTTTCGGAGGATGTCTTATTTTTCAGAAAAAGACAGTATGACATAATGTGGTAAGCTCTCATGCAGACGTCCCGTGTGAAGCCTTCTATGCACAGTTAACATTGATATCAACCTTCCTGTATCAGCGCACTATTTCTTCGTGTGTGTAAAAACAAATATCGGTCATTAGCAGTTGTATGACCTTGGCTGAACCTCCTGGATGCTGAATCTGTAGTTAGAAATTGTTGCCAGAGTCTATGAACCACAGAAGGGTTCACATTTAACCATCTGGCCACTTCTGTCCTGCCTCTGGTCTTCCAGTAGGTATCCATTGCATTTCTTAGGTGAATGATGCCTGGAGGTCATTGTTACTAATTGGCCATCCCAGATTTCTTTTTCAATACTATTTTTATTTCAATTATCAATAGCTCTGAAACATGCAGTTTTATGCTCCTCGCAGATGACATATTTCGATTGCAGCACCACTAATTTACAAACAGCAGTTTTACTCAGCAAGTTTACTTATTTGACAGTATATTCAAATTTTATATGGATTGGTTTACTTTTGAATGAGTTATCACTATTTTTGATTTTTTCTTAATTTTTGGAAATGAGTGTTCAATATTTATAAAACTTTCTGTGAAAAAAATGTTTCAATCATCATAAGTTTGAGATTAATATATAAAATATTTTTTTCTTTTCTTTCTAGCATCATGAACAAGTATTCAAATATGTGGATACCCTTGAAAGTCTTCTGTTCACAAGTGATATTGATCATCATATATTGTCAGTATTTACACAGTTTTCTGCCCTTAAAGCATAAGTGTCTGATGTGATTTATGAGAAAACATTTCTGTACATCAAATCAATCTCTATCATTACATAAACTATTTTTCATGAAGTTTACTGTTTCTTTCATGCGTGTCCTTTTTCAGAAAATTCATGACCAGCATAAGACTTGAAAATCCATCAAACAAAAACATTATTTAAAATTTGAGTTACAAATGTTATGATGTTTAAAGAATGTTTATGTATTAAATTTTATCAAGTTAAATGATCTTGGTAATCAATAAGTGCTAAGCAATTATCCAAAGGGACTGCATTTTCTTTTAAAGTTTTAATAATGAACTGTGTTATATTAAAGCCTGTTGAATGTCCTTCTAAAGTGGGAACAGAAAGTAAACTGCACTCAATTTCTGAAGACTCTGGATTAAAAAAAAGGAACAACAATTGGATACAGTTTTGAATCAGTATTATTGCTTCCATCCGTAGAGAGGCTAATAAGCTTTTAATGCAATCAATATTGAAGATTATTAAACCCATCTTTAGCAATGCACCTGTTTTGTCCTTGCACTTGAGTATTTCTCAGCGATTTCACTACCGGGAAATATTTTTCTAGATAAAGCTGCAGTGTGATCCGATGCATTCAGTGGCAGATTGTGCTCCAGTAAAAAGGCAGAGAACAGACATTTTGCATTAATAACTTTTTGGTCTTTTGTTTCCGAAGCAAAATTTAATTTTTTAGTTTTTTTCAAAACAACTTATGTTGTCCTTGTGTTTTTGTGTATGCACATGTTTGAGAACATCCACCCTTCCATCATGCATAATCGAAATATCGCAACGACAGACGGTACACATCGCAAATTTATTACATTTCCTTGAGGAAATAATGGAAGGAAAATCAACTGTGTACGATTTTTGAAACGTACACGAGTATTAACCTTTCTCGCATAACAAAAGATGATAATTTCTAAAACTATTTCCCGAAAGCACGTGTACTCGCACAACTCAGGACAAGATGAACAAACTAACTAAAGAACATCCAAATAACAGTCTTGAGCTTGTTTTGTGCTCATTGGCTAATATATGCCAGATGACACGCAGTGGAGCTTGATGCCCATTGGAGAACTGGAGAACGACATTTCTGGATACGTGCTGTCACCACAAAGCAAAAATTCTCATTGATTCGCAAGTTTTTTTTTAAATATAATCTAGAACATTCAATCGCTTTCAGACGTTCAAAATCACTTTTTTTTTTTTTTGTTCTATAACGAAGTATGAAGCCAAGTTCCATAAAAATTGTGAGAAATTTTAAGAATAAGAAAAAGTTGGGAGAAATATATTGTAAATCGGGTTGGCGGGAGAGCGGACAAAAATCGGGAGAGTTGGCAACTCTGCAAACAAAATGTGAGGATGATGATCTCTAAAACTAATTAATATGCAATTTTACAGCATTTTATTAAGAAAAAAAATCCACTACTTATATTTAAAAAGTAACTTTAATGAGATCTTTACAGATAATTTACATCTTTGTATATGTGAAGCATCTAGAAAAAGGGAAAAAAATAAATTGCCCTATTTGAATACTCTAAATTTTAGATTTCTGTACGACTAGATTACGAAAAGGAATTTGAAAGCATTAAACAAACTTTCAATTGTTAAAAGAAATTTATTTTAAGTAGGGTTTGTACATCTAAAAAAAAAAAAAAAAAAAAAAAAAAAAAACTTCAAATTATTGAAATTTAAATTATATAAAAATTATATTTAATGAGCAATATAATCAAAACATACACAACACAAACATATAATAATTGCAGTAGAGGATTTTTTAATGTATATTTTACAAATATTCAATTATAAGTTACTTTTTTGACCAGAAAACCATGATATGAAAGCCATTAACATGATGAAAGACTAATGTTAAATTGAAAATGGCCTAGCATTATAATTTATAGTAATCTGCAGGATTAACCCTCCCAATTCAATATTTACTAATCTTAAAAAGACTGAAATAAAATCAACATGTACAAGACAATTTGTAACAACTTGTGTAAATTATGAGGTATTTTTTATAACTCATATATATGAATAACGGACTAAAGCAATGACTACAAATAATAGACATAACAAAATGTTAGAAACAAAAAATACTGATATTAACAGTGAAGCCTGCTCAGAAAGACGAATCGCTGAACTGAAATTATATAGCTACTTCACACAAGTGTAGGAATGAAATAATTGTACAAAAACTAATTCTACAAGAGAGAGGGAAAAAAAAAAAAAATGTTTGTCATTGCCTTTTATATTAAACAATTCAACTACAGAATATAAACTCTTAAGTTACATAAAATTAAGTTCATTTAAAGTTTAAAAAATTTTTTATATATTTTATGCAAATGCAGTTATTATAACATGAAAAAATTTAAGAATTTATAAGCAGTCATAAAATATTTTAATAATTAATTTTCATAATTATGCTCAAGCAAATTTTGCACTTTGTTCTTTTCAAGCAGTTTAGTGATGTGTAACAGGTATACATGAATTTTTTTTTATCAAAACTAAATATGCATTATTCTTGAGCAAAATTTCAATTGCAAAGGTGAGAGAGCAAGAAAAGTTAATTTTACATTATTTCTGTAACATTCCTTCAGGATTTTTTTATGCCTATTAACAAACCAGAAACGCTTCTTGAGCAGGGATTGCATGCCCATCTAAGAAAAAATCCTGTGCAGCATTTCCTGTATGTGAAACATACCATAACATTCCGAAACACTAGCATACGAATAGATAGAAGCAAACTTTAGAACACAATACTTGAAATCACACAATGCTGAAGGATTGAAGAATTCCATCTAAGTGCAAAGAATGTTTTCCTCTTACCTTTCACCTTTGAAAACAGAAGTATACTATATTCACAAAAATAAGTTTATTTACAATCTATTTTGAAGTAGCAAACAGACTTAGCATAACCAAGCTAAGCGTTAGAGGATTAAAAATCACTACTCCAATTTTTATAGCACTGCACTGTATAAATGAGCATTTCAATTTTCTTTCAACACCCTTTGCTGTCTCATTAGGATTTTTACTAGATTTATGTGATTAGAAGCAATTCTTTTCATTTTAGTCAGTGTAGAAAAATTGATTTCTAACAGCTTGATATTATGTTCTCTAACCTGAAAACTTCATTGTTGAATAGGAGTCTATGAACTAATTTTAATTGGATTATAAGGACTAAAATTTAATTTTTAGCAAGCAATTATATATTTTGATTGGGCGTCCTAAATTTTGGGAGGAAAAGACCAAATTTTGTTTCCATGCCACTAAAGGTGGCATTAGCTAAACGATAACCTCCTACATGATCAGGATTTGTAGATCGTATTTCTCCTGCATGGACTGGGACTTTAGTCTGAGAGCCGGTTGGCCTCCTGAAAAAAGGAATGAGAATAAATTTACTGTACAATAAAATCATCCTATCCACATCCCCCCCCAAGAAAAAGTCTAAAATATAAAAATTGTCTTTTTAAAGATTTTTTGTATGCATATTTCATAAATTAGTAGAAACACCAAATCTTTATAATATACATCTCAGAATAGTATTAGAAGTAGAAACCTGGCTTCACTTTCTCTTATTTACATAACCAGGTGCCAATATTAAAATTACATTGGTGTGTAATTTTCAGAGAAACTAATTAGTAACTTTTGGTGGACAACAATTACTTTAACATTTCACATTTAAAAACAAAGTTTCATAATAATTATGTAAAATTTCAATAAATATTAGGTACAAAGTGTTAACAATGCTGTACTTACCATTTCCCTTTTCAATGCTAAAAAAATAGAGGCTGGCAATATAGTACCTGATTGTGTATTGTAATCAGATTTGTCCCTTGAATTAAGATTTAGCATGTTAACAATGATGCAACAATATATATTGACAGTGAGGGAAATTCCAATACTAAGAAGGAGTTGTGTTAGATAAACTAAATTTGGTAAGCGTGTTTATATGTCTGAAAGGTGACATCTATTTAAGCTTTTAGCTAGCGCATAAGTGTGCACTAGTAATACCATAATTAATTTACCTTTTAGCCCAGCCAACGTGCATTACGCGGATAGACTGGAATTTTCTTGAAACACGCCTGGAAAGTCAGGGAATTTCATTCTCCTGCTTGAGTGGCAACCCTGGTTTGAACAAGGTCATGTAATAAAACTATGAGAAAGTAGATTTTCTTTCCACAATATTGCAGAAAAACAAGGCAGGAATATATTTGCTGTGCATGACTGTTGGCAGCAGTGGTCAAGGGAAGGTATTGGCTCTAGAAGACTGGGTTCTGGTCAGCCATGTAGCACTCTTGAGAGGGATGGCGTATGGCTGTGGTGCATCATACTACATCTGCAGCAGGAATTCGAGCTGCAGTTGGCACCACAGTGACAGAAAAAACTGTTCACTCAGTTACTCGAAGGACAATTCCAAACCAGATGCCCTGTAGTGTGCATTCTACCAACTCCAAACCCTTGTCGTGTCTGACATCAATGGTGTAAAGCTAGATAGAGCTCATTAGAGGATGGAATGGAGATCTGTTGTGTTTTCAAATGAATGTTAATGATGCCAGTGATGGCCATGTGTTGGTTAGAAGAAGGCGAGTAATAGTCTGGGGAGCAATTTCGTATGATAGCAGCACTTCATTGTTATCCTGACTGCAAATTTGTATGTCAGTCCGCTGATTCAACCTGTTCTGCCATTCATGAATAGCATTCAAGAGAGTATTTTCTAACAGGGTAACACTCACCCTCATACTGCTGTTGTAACCCAGCATGCTCTACAGAGTGTCAACACATTGCCTTGGCTTGCTAAATTACCAGATCTTTCTCCAGTCGAGCACATATGGGACATTATTGGACAACTCCAGCATTAACCGACCAAGTGCAACAGGCATGGAACTCCATTCCACAAACAGACATTCTGCACCTGTATGACACAATGCATACATGTTTGCATGCTTGCATTCAAAACAACGTACCAGCATATTATATTTGAAATGGCTGTTTTCGTACTTCCTCTAACCTGTAATTATGAATATTTAACAAAATTTGTTATTTAGACATATGTACTGCCGAAATTTCATTACTTCACAATAATTTATTCTTGGTGTTGGGATCCCCCCCCAATCAATGTATATACACATACATACACAATTTTTTAGTAATCGGTATTTTTAAACACAGTGTTAGCTGAAGTTGCATAAGATAAAGTTGGGGGGGGGGAATACATAGAAATTGTGTCCATGAAAATTGTTAATGAATAATGCACATTTAAATTTGCAGTCTTCAGACTTTATAAATGTAACTCCTGTAACACATACACAGTATATTTAATATTTAAGATGATCTTAAGTAGAAAAATATTTTCATCTACTTTGACTTGTAAAACCATGTTAAATTAACACCTTGTTAAACACTTAAGCTTGAAACACATAAGTTTTAATGTATTTATATTAATATGCAATGAATATGTAAAGCTGTCCAAACAAAATCTTGATAAATATTAAATAATTCAGCACTAAATTTTATCAATGTAGAAAGAAAAGAGTATTTTTTTAATTCAATAATGATGAACAGTATAGAAAATTAGATATTCTTATGGAATTATTTTTTTTGGCACTGATTCAATGCTTCATCACTATGCTTGCAGTGTATTATTGAGGAATTATTACTTTTCATGAATTCAGGAAAACTTGCAATGTATGATTTTCTGTTTTACACTTGGTCATAACTAACAATACGTCATACCGCATTTTTTATTTTTTTTTTAATCAAGGAACTGTTTTTGATTAAGTTAATAAACTTAAATTATTTTTTAAAAAAAGCAATACAAAATAGTCATTTGCTGGAAATGAGCTTGAGATGACATTCATCTAAGAGATTAAAAACAGAGTTCCTCTGGCTGACTCAAGATGAAATTGAATCAATAATAATCTCTGAATGTGAATTCTTCTATTTGTTTGTATGCTCAGTGATTAATCTCTATATCTCAAAAAAATATTTCAGCATAATGAAATGGATGCATGAATAATGAGAAGCATCAGTTTGTGTGTTTAAAAATGGGCTCAGAAACCATTACACGTTAATAGGGCATCATACTATTACATATTATTATAATGTATCAAGTTGGTACAAATTTATACTAATTTTGAGTTTAATAAATTAAAAATTGGTAGTTTATCTGAATTCTTTTCTTATTCTAGGCTTTGCTACTATATAAGTAAATATATCTTTTTTCATTTCAAAACTTTTGCTGCTCTTTTGTTACAGATCTTAAAAGCTAATTTTTTAAAAAAATTTTTAGATGAATTTCCAGTATTTTTTCATACGTTCGATTACTTCTCTTTTACATGTTTTTGGACTTAATCAACTAAAATTGCAAATTAGATTTTAAATCTTTATTGCTTGTTTATTATTTATGTTTTTAAAATTTGAATATATTTTCCCCCCTCTTGAAACAATGGATTAAAATATGTTTTTCTTTTCAAATACTGGATTATTATTTTTGCAAGTTTTGTTTTTGGATTATTATTTTTGCAAGTCTGTAGTAGAGGTTGGGCTGATAAAAGATATATTAATTTTATTGTTTTTCTACGATTATTAGCCCAAAGAAGCATTAGCCCAAAAGGGCTATCAGTCTCAAAATGGGATTTTGCATTGAATCACTATAAAAGTCTAAATCACTTTTCAAAATGTTGCCACCAAATATTATCACCCTGTCTTATATTTAAAGAAATTAAATAACAAGAATTTGCATGAATATTTTTCGCATTGTGGAAAAACAACGGTACCTAGAGCCATCAAATTTTGAATAATATAGCCCTCCACCCAAATTATGGACACCTGGCAGCGTAATTTTTTAATTTATTTTATTGTATATTGCATATTTTGTAAAACTTTAATGAATTTTTGATTAACAAACTCAATTATTTAAAAAGCAACTCAATGGCAACACTATATGGGGGGGGGCATTGTTATCTCCAGCATACGAGATTATCTATCAGAAGTTCTAAAGACAGATTGTTTTTAAATATTTTGGCACAAATGCTCTCAAAACGTATATGTAAATGGGGGAAAAAAATGCCTCTTTGGATTTTTTTTTTTTTTTTTTAAATTTTAAACCTTGTTTCATGTCTTAGTCAGCTCAGAAACAAGCTATTTTATTTATTTCATTGCAATAACCCTCTGAGATGTAGTGAAAGATGTAAATTTCATTTTGGTTTTGTCATATTCCCCCCAGCCCCATTTCTCGCATTTTACCACTGTCCTTCTGGTTTTTTGCAGGATTTATTCTGAACTGAATATGTGTTTTTTATTCTTACTTTAACATTATGTGTGTGTGATGATTTTAAAACTGATGACACAATAGAGAGCATGATTTACAGATTTTGATTATGATAGAATCTAGTACATAAAAAATAGCAGTTATAGCTGTCACATTTAATATTTATCTTTTTATTATAAAAAAATTAATATTTTTAAAAAAAATTTATTGACACACATTTTTAAGCAAACAAAGAAAAAGTTGCACACTAATCACCAGTCTTTAAAGAACTACACTGGTACTACTGTAATTTTTTTATCTTCAAAAGACAGATGAAGAAGTAGGCTGGCAAGAGGAGCAGAAGGTGGAATGCAATGAGTCCAAGATGAAAGTTCATTTAGATAATTTTGAGTTTCAGTTTGCTTTATTCTGATTGGTTAATGTTTAAGCTTCTGAAATTGTTATTGATGAAAGCCTTATGTAAGTTATCTGCATCAAGAGCTTAATGCAAGAGTTATATGACAGCTATTAATTTTGAACTGATGCAGTTTAGAGTAATTTATTTATAATTTATGCACTATTTTTAAGATGGAAAGGTTTCGTTTGTTTGTTTTTATCTGAATATGGCAAAGCTATCTACGGGGAGGGAAGCCTTTATGGAGGACCTTTTAAGAGAAATTGGCTCATATCTATGAAATGTGGAAAGGGGAAATATCCAAATTAAAATAGAGAGTTAAGGGACTATTGCAAATTAAAGTGAGAATTTTCCTTTACATATATTTATCTTGTATATATATATATATGTAAGGAAAAGATTTATAAATCCAAATACTAACTTTAATTTGCATTTGTCATCAGATGTAGAATAGATAAAAATGTAATCAGAACAGGTGTGCAAATCGGTTCCATCATAATGAATGTATGAGGGTTGGAACTTTAATAGTGGCAACTATTTATTTACAAGGAATACAAAAGTGATTCATGTCACCATGTTTTACAGTCCTTCAATATAGTCGCCAGCATTGTGTACAACCCATTTCCAACGATGTGAAAGTCGCAGAATACCTGTAGCAGCTCCTGTCTTGTTGAATGGACCGGTCTACTGCAGCAAGAATCTCAGGA